AGAAAACAACGCGAGCCGCTGCCACCACCTCCTCCTCCCCCTCCTCCCGAGCGGACTGAAAGCAGCTAGGGCTGAGGAAACGAAGCCACCTCGGCTCGCGTTGTTTTCTGAGCCTAGAGCCAGGGCGTTTTCATTGCACAGCACATGACGGTGGGTCTTCCCCCCCCCCCCAAAAAAACCAGTTAAATAAAGAAAAAACAATATATCCTCATGCAAGAACTTTTCTGCTTCCGATTACCCCCATGCTTACAAGTTGCAAAGGAAACACGGAAGCAGGGAAGCGGCTGCCCAGCTCCGGAGCTCCACACCATTTGTTTTTTTTTTCAGAGGGAATCTGACTCGAGTATAAGCCGAGGGGTTTTTTTTCAGCACAAAAAATGTGCTGAAAAACTCGGCTTATACTCGAGTATATACGGTATATGGTTAAGATGATGCTCCATCTTTTCCTAGAATGTATTCTTGCTTTAAAAGTCTATTTTTCCCCCCGCATTTTCTCCCTCACAGGAAGCAGAACCATGTCTCAGTTTTGTGATGGAAGAGAAAAAACAACCGAACCTCCAGCTCAGGTACTGAAAGGATCAGACTCAATTGAGCCTAGCTCATAAAATTCGAAGTATCTTAGAAATATGGAGTTGGAAACCCCGCCCGAGATCAGCCGTCTGTCCTACTGTATTGTACAAGAAAACCAACAAAACCATCCTTAAGAGTGATCCTCTATCCGACACCCTTGTTTCCCCTCGTTCTTCTTTCCTTCAGACTGGACATCCCAAGTACCTTCAGCCCTTTCTCCAGGCCTGTCAAACTGGCAGCCCATGAGCCGAATACAGCCCACGTAGGCCACAGCCACCCCCACCTCCACCAAGGCAAAAAACATCGCGCTACGTCACAATCCAGCCCGTGACGTGATCGGGTTTGACACCCCTGTCCTAAAGCCTGTCCTATAATTCTTGACTCACCTGTGTTGCCCTCCCTTGAACCTGCTATTACCTGTCAAGTCCTTCTGACGACGTGCCTTGAAATGTTGCCAAAATAAAAGAGAAAATACTAACAGATGGACTCCTAAGAGAGAGGTTCGTAGGGAAAGTCATACAGGTAATCCTTGACTTACAACCATTAATGGAGCTTGCCCATTAATGGTCGTAAGTCGTGACAAAAGTAAACCCTTGTGACTGATCCATTTTTATCACCTTTTTATTGCTATGGTTATATGGTTAAATGTTCCAGTTATTGAGCAAATCAATTGTTTGCTACTGGGCCGGTTTTGTTGAAAAAGAGAAGTTAATTCCATTGGCTACTTTGGGTCAGTCGTGTTTTTTCCTGGACTGCTCTACCTTATAAGGTTGGAAACGGGTGGGATTCAAATTTTTTATCAACTGGTTCTGTGGGCGTGGTTTAGTTGGTGGGCGTGGCTTGGTGATCATGTGACTGGGTGGACGTGGCTTGGTCATGTTATTGGCTGGGCGTGGCCAACTCAATTTCACTCACATCGAGGCATGCATCTCCTCGCCTGGCCTCTCGTGACTGTGAGGATGCTGCAACAGTCGTAAGTGTGAAAAATAAGTCACTTTTGTCAGTGCCATTATAACTTTGAATAGTCCCTCCACACAAGCAAAGTACTAGCAAAGGAGGGGAAAAAAAAACTCCAGAGAAGTTCCTGAGACAGGAAGTCTAGTCCTGCCAAGAATGTAATAAGGGTTAACAGAGAGGCAGTTTCTGTAAGCGACACGAGAATGCTTCCTTCCTGCCTTCCTTACAGGATTAGGCCAGTAATTTCTTCTAACAACTGGTTCTCCGAACTGCTTAACAACCGGTTCTAGCGAATAGGTGCGAACTGGTAGAATCCCACCCCTGGTTGGAAAGGACTCCTGACTGAAAGGCAAAGTATAAATCTAATATTACAGTATTGATGGCAGCTTGTTAAACCCTGGATGCGATTTCCTTGTTCCATGACATTGTTTAATATTGGGTAGCGTGTAAGCCCTCGGGGAACTCCTCAGACCATTGACTAAAGATCAGACAGGAGCTCCCCAACATTTTTACTTCTTTTTTTTTTAAAACAATTTTATTGGTTTTTTTAAAAACAAACAAAACCAACAAAGCATAAAAACATCAGCTCTCTTCCATACATATATACAAGCAGTGTGTCAGTTGGTTCATCAGTTTTGTGCATTCATTTTGTAGTCTCAATTACAGCTATATTACATAATAACTCATATTATCAAACTAAACTTATATATCCTCATATCATTATTAAAAAAATCATTTGACTATGATTTTATTCATTCATACTTTATGAGATAACTATAATTTAGGTAGTTTATTCTATAGCAAATCATATAATCATACCAAATCTATCCTAAAAAACACTTTATAGATATGATGTCAAATAACAAAAGAAAAAGAAAAAACAAAGATATTCCTTATTATCTAACATTCTAAATATTCTATTTTTGTACTTTATCATCCAACCATTGATAGAAAAGGTCCCAAATTTTATAAAATTGTTTATCCTCTTGCTCTCTAATTTCAAATGTCAATCTACTCATCTCAGCACATTTTTACTTCTCTGAGTGAGTATTGGAGGCCCTGAATTGTGGTGCTTGCAAAGCCCACTTGCCCATTGATCCAGAAAGACGGTGCGGTTCCTTTCATTAAATGGTGTCGAAAGTGTTATAAAATTGGTTGAATTGCTAAAAAGCCATGGATTCTGTCCATTCTCTCCTGTTACCCCATGCAGAAAATGCCCATTGGTTACTTCTTAGAAATCCTTCCTGACTTGTCTATAACTAAAGTCTTCTTTCAGGGTCCCGTCTCTTTTGAGGAGGTGGCTGTGTGTTTCACTGAAGAAGAGTGGGATCTTCTAGATTCCAACCAGAGGGCTCTCCATGAAGAAGTCATGCTGGAGAATGCTAGGAGTGTGGCCTCTCTGGGTAAGGGAGCATCTGGGTTCTGGGTTCAGACGAAGTGTGTTTGTGGGGTGGGAATATTTTCTAGTTAGATGTAATTATTCTCTCTTATTTTCTCCAAGAACTGCCCAAACCAGTCTCCTGGCTGGAAGGACAAGATCCATTCTTCTGGAATTCTGAAGGTGAGAGATCAGCAGGAATCTACTCCAAGTATCCTGAAGAACTTTTCAGGTGGTGTTTAAGAAAAATGGACATTTGAAAGAGCCACATTTTGCCTGATGAGTCTGCCTGTTCTTCTCAAAGGCATTAATTTCGTGGCACATCGATGGCACAAGGGCTGATCTTCTGATAGAGATGTTTCTCTGACATACTTTGCTGGTTGTGGGAATGATTTTGGTTTTTGTTTTAAAGCTCCCTTAACCTTGATAGATCTCCAAAGCAGTCTCCCCCAATTTTATGGACACAAAAATGGAGAGAGATTTTTTTTCATGGACCTGAGGGAGGCATGGTTTCATGTGTTACCTGCAACCCGCAGTTGGGGCTTTGGTTTGCATGGCCTAGTTTCTGGCATGGTGCTTGGTTGTGGAGGGGGGCTGCTCTAAAGCAGTGGTCCCCAACCATTTTTGTACCATGGACTGGTACAATCCACAGACCGATCCACGGACCGGTACCGGCATCAGCACGCACGACCAAGGCAAGGCGAGCCGAGTGACCGGCCAGCCAGCCGTCCCCCGCTTCTCTCCACCACCTTCAACTCCTCCTTTGTACCTTCTCGCGGTCGATGGGCTTTTCGGGCTCTTTCTTAATCTCCTCCTGAGTAACGTGAGACTCCACCGCCATCAGGACAGCTCTTCGTTCGAAGCCGCCCCCCGCTCTTCGACAAAACTAAGGCGTGAGGATTCCTTCAGCACCCAAACGCCGCTTTCCAACCGATGACCGACAAGCTCACCCGGAAGCACTTTCTCAAGTGCCATCGAAACAAGATGGCAGCATCCAAGCAAAATAGGCGGCCCGGTACAAAATGATCCACGGACCGGTACCGGTCTAGGGCCCGGTGGTTGGGAACCACTGCTCTAAAGGGTCCACTTGGCATATTTCTTTTCTGGGGATTCATGGATCCCAATATCTGTCCTCCTGTTCCTTCCTCTTTCTGTTATGCAAACTATGAGGTGATCCTGCAGTGCCATGCTTTGGGCTGGCAGTTCTGCCACATGCTTGTTCTGGTTTCATGTGGTTAAAAGAGATTTGTCTGTCCAAGAATAGCTCAAAAGGCTGACTAGTGTCCCACTGGAGGGCAAGTGCTTGAAAAGTAATAGCTTTAAACTGAGATCCTCTTGGAGAAAGAGGCCAACTCAGTTTTACAGGCAACCTGGGGAGAACGGGACTCCTTACCTCCAAATTAATTAATTACAACATATATTATTTGACCCAGATGTCTGAATTCAGTTGTGGTCTATTCTGCATCTAAAGTCTGCTGAATAGAAGCTAGTAAAATGGAGATCGCGATAGCACTTATATACTGCTTCACAGTGCTTTACATCAGGGGTCCCCAACCACCGGTCCCCAGACCGGTACCGGTCCATGGATCATTTTTTTACCGGGCCGCAAAGCTTGGGCGCCGCCATCTTGTTTCAACAGCGCTTCCGGGTTTTCAGTTGCTTCCAGGTTTTGGGTTGGAAAGTGCTTCCGGGTTTTCAGTTGGAAAGTGGCGTTTGGGTGCTCGCGCCTTAGTTTCGTCGAAGTGGGGTGGGTGCAGTTTCGAATGAAGAGCCGTCCCAATGGCGGTGGAGTCTCACGTTACTCAGGTACCGGTCCGTGGAAGAATAAATAATCGTGAAACCAGTCCCTGGTTCGAAAAAGGTTGGGGGCCACTGCTTAACAGCCCTCTCCAAGCAATTTAGTCAGCGTATTGCCCCCAACCATCTGGGTCCTGGTTTTACTGACCTTGGAAGGATGAATCCATCTTGAGCTAGTGAGATGTTCTTGCACTGAGCTATTTGTCTTACAAAACTAATTCACGGTAAATCCTTATCAGTTATCTTACTGGGCTGTTGATGAGTGTATTTGTGTTTGGAACTGACGTGGAATCCACTTTGCGCTCTGCTGCAACAGCTTATTCTCACGCAATATGGATTTGCAATCACCTTGGCCTATTTATTTATTTTTTGCCAGCCATCCTTCTAACTGGGCAAATGGCTGGAAGGAAACCTTTTTCCAATTGGCCCTTCCTTTTATTGCAGATTATTTTCCCCATCTCCGGGCCGCACACATTTCCTCATTAAGTCATATTTTGAAAAACGATACATGTGTCATTTCTAAAAATTGGGAAATACGCATCTGTACTAAAATCAAGTGAAAATTGGACCTAAAAATATTTCTGAACTGGCAGCATATTAAAAAAAATTACCCCACGTTTCGGGGCATAGGAGATAAAACTACTTAGGCCCCACACGTTGGAATGGATTTGCCCCTGGAAACATGGAAGGCCTCACAACTCTTAGTTCTGACGTTATTCAATTTCAGTTGGCTTTTGGTTCATGATGTGATTGTGAATGCAGTAATCCCTGGCTATACTCCATTTATGCAATTCTTTATTGTTGTGCGCTGCCCAAAAGCTATATGTTTGTATAGGATACAAATACTAAATGAGGAAACACTTAGAAAAGCTATAGGGAGTGTAGATATGCAGAAATATAGATGCAACTAAGAAGATCCTTCTCTAACAATATTTTCCATTTTTGCTTTAAATTTCTATTTTTCTCTCTCTCCAGCAGGCAACGGGCAAAAAAACAGGAAGTGCACGGAGCCCCCTCTGAAGTACTTTAGTCAAAATTTGCTTTCCAGTTCATACACAGGGGAGAAACCCTACAAATGCTTCGAATGTGGGAAGAGCTTTATTATGAGCAGCCACCTGCTTTCTCACCAGAGGACTCACTCGGGGAAAAAGTCGTATAAGTGCTTGGAGTGCGGAAAGAGCTTCACCCAGAACTTCAGCCTGACAGTCCATCAAAGAACTCACACTGGGGAAAAACCCTACGAATGCGTGGACTGCGGGAAGTGCTTCAGCCGCAGCCAACATCTCATTCAGCACAGAAGCATCCACACAGGGGAGAAACCATTTCAATGCACCGACTGTGGGAAGTGCTTCAGCCGCAGCCAGCATCTCGCTCAACATCGAAGTATCCACACCGGAGAGAAACCATATAAATGCACGGAGTGTGGAAGGCGCTTCAGCAATAGCGGAAGTCTAAATACCCACCAGAGAACTCACACAGGGGAGAAACCCTACAAATGCCTCGAGTGTGGGAAGAGCTTCAGCAAGAGCAGTAACCTTACAGCCCATAAGCGGATCCATACGGGGGAGAAGCCCTATCAATGCTTGGAGTGCGGGAAGAGCTTCAGTAAAAGGGGGAACCTTTATAAACACCAGACGATCCACACAGGAGAAAAACCTTACACCTGCATGGAATGCGGAAAAAGTTTCCGGATGAGTGGAAACTTTTATAAGCATCAGAGAATCCACACAGGAGAGAAACCCTATGAATGCCTGGAGTGTAGGAAACGCTTCGCCCTCAGGCACCAGTTGACTTCACATCAAAGAACTCATGCTGAGGAAAACCCATTTCGATGCTTAGTGTGCGGCAAGGACTTTAAGTATAGCGAGCAACTTACTCAGCACGAAACCACCCACATGGCATCCAGCCAAAATAGAGACGTGGTTGGAGAAACTTCAGCTCCCTTTGAGAGCTCCTATTTCTCTTTATATCCTGACAATAGTTTAATCTCCTTTATTTGGTCAGGAAACCGGTGATTATTGTCTCTTTTGGTATCTGTGGAGGAGTTTGTGAATAATCTGAACCAAGAGACATAATGGAGAAACCGAGTCATTGTAGTCCTCTCTCCTGGCAACATCTGGATAGAAACTGATGCGCTTTGATGAATTATGATAAGACTTCCTGATGCTCATTTTCAAAATCCTCTGAAGCCTGCTCAAGATCCATCCAAAATCTCTTCCGACAATGCCAAACAGGTGGCTGGTAATTGGCAGACTTGTTCAAATGACTTCCTTTTGGTGGAAGGAAAAGAATCTAAAATATATTCTTGTTCTTGCAACTTTCACCAACAACCATCTAAGATTTTCTTCCAGATGTGGAAGGTTTTATTATCTACTTCTAGGATTGAAAACCCTTTGGGAGAGGCTTACTCATGAGCTGTTCTTAATCTGACACCAGATAATATGTCAATCATTGAATTGGATCATATAATAATGTCAATGCACTTTTTTCTGATCTCTTAACTGGACCTTTCAGCCAATTAATCTTTGAAAGTTTTCAAAAGTTACTTAAGACTCGTAACAGGTTTATTGTAGTCTTCTGTAGTGATATCAATCTTTTTTATGGCGTTTTCTGGAATTGCAGGTGTATAATTTATCCTTTTCCTCGATTGTGGTTTCTTTTTAGACAAGTATTTTATTGCAGCACTGAAGTAATTTTGCCACTTTTCTGTGTTTAGTAGAGACTGTAGATAAAGAGGTGCAAAAAATTGTTGTTAATGTCACAGAAATAAGGATTTTTAAAACTTTTTTTCATCCTCTGGCTGTGTTCTCACAATACCTACAGCCTTCTGGTATTTTTAAATTTAGAGGCCGGATGACTCCAAGACAGTTTTGGGAGACTAACACTTTAAATTAGACAACAAGAAAGATTGTGTATGCCCAGACAAGCCATACCACATGGACCTCAAAAATGCAAATGAGAAACCTAAATGTATTTTCTTGCTGTCTGAAGGTCCCAAACTGTATGTTTGTAATAATAGATGACTGGGTCTGCATAATCACAGCCAATTCAGCCATTCCCCCAACTGCTACAAAGAAAGGAGGCTTCTTCCTGCCTGACTTCCTTTTTTTATCCAAACGAAATAATTTTTTGAAAGGAAAAAAAAAATCATATTGCTTGATGCAGGATAGAACTGCCATGGACAAATTCAGGGAGCTTCTCTGCCTCCTGCCCATATCTCCTTGGGTTAATTTACATCACCCACCTGCGCTGCTGAAGATGTGTATGAAAATCGAAAGGGATATAGAGACAGCATTCCTAGAGAAGGCCCAGTTTTGCAGCATCTCTAAGACTTTGCTTTGAGTTTAGAAATTTTAGTAATCTCCAGCGTGGAAGATTCTACCCTGCTTGGTTGGATGGAGTTAGTTTAATCTCGTGATGTGCTAAATAAAATGTTTTGGTCTAGAAACAAAATAGGTTTCATTTTGAATGCCAGCTGAAACACAACTCTAGTTAAAAGATGTTCATGATGAATTTAAGAGTTGAAAACCCACAGAAATCAGGGAAGATGAAGGAAGGAAGATCATATGAGATACATTGTGCTGAGAACTGCTCATGGGAGAGAGAATAAGATGAGGGCAGCCTCGCTGCATTCAGCATAAAACATGGCTCTAGGAGCCCTTGAATTCTGTCTCAGACCAAACCTAGAACCACCAATGATGTTTTTTTTTTAAATAAAGTTTTATTTGGGTTTTCATACATACAAAATACAAGTAAAACATCTTTTTTGAAAATAGCATGGTCCCGGGTTGAACTTCTTTATCCAGACACAAAACTCAATTTCAGGCTCCTTTTTGTGTTCTATTCCATATCTTATACTATTCTACATTTTCTATATAGTTTTTCCCCTCTTTTAATTTATTCAATTTTATTTTATCTCATCTCAATTCAAATCATTATATTTATACTTTTGTCTGTTCTGTTTCAATTTCATATTATCTTTTCTCATTAAACAAATTTTCTCCTGTAGTTACTAATTGGAGTATGACCCTTTATATCTTTTAATTACATCCATTCAACTCCTGTTTAAACTTCAATATGTACCTTAAGGTTCCTTCAATACAATACATAATACATAACTTCCAATCAAATTCTGCTCGGTACATTCTTATAATACACACTATATTCTTTTTTTAAAAAGATTATAAATATGTGTAATTATAAACCTTCATTCCATTCCAATTCAGTTCTATCATTAATAGTCATTAAAATCTTAACATCTTTAACAGTTCTTTTCAATTAAATATCATACTTAAAGACACATATAATCTCCATAATTAATTTTTCCCTTATTTCTCTTCACATGTTTTGTAAATAATTAAATATTCATGTTGTTACATTTATTTATTGACAAGCATTCCACTGAATTATGATAGCTATTTTATCAAACATTTTAATCATATATTGTTTCATATTTTCTAAAATTATTTCTGTTTCTAATATAACCATACTATCTTATGTACCTTTGCAGAATCCCTTTTTCCATTAAATTTTCGCCCATTATCTCTAAATAGGCCCTGTTTCTCTATATTTTGTTTCTGTCCTTTATAACTTCTTTTCCTTTCTTTCTTCCCTCTCATCTTCTCCCTCCCCTTTTTTTTGGAAGTCTTGTTGAGATTTTGCTGTAAGTTCTTTTTAATTCAGGCAGTCTCCTCCCTTCCAGATCCTGCCCTTTTATTCTTTTTCTCTCCTGTTTTCAAAAGCTTTTGATTATCCAAAAATCTTTATTATCCCTTTGACTTTTTATTTTCAGCATTAAATGCCTATTAATGTCAAAGTGGATTTTTTTTCCAATTTCTTGCTTAAGTCTCTTAGCTGTCAGTATAGGAAAAGGAGAAAAAAAAACCAAATCTTTTCCCTTTTCTCTCTCCTTCGCAGCTTAAAAATCTTCTTAGGGAACAATGTTATTGTTTTTTTAATAGTTTCAATTCCAGGGTACCTTATTTGTTGCTTTTGCTGTTTGACCCGGTCAACCAAAACTTTCTCTTCTTATCTTCCTCCGGCACATTCTTTTCCGGTCGAGTTCTTCTTTGTGGTGGCCATTTCTGACCACCGCTACAACCGCCTTCAGGAAAGGGAGTAATGGGCAGCTGGGGAGGAGAGATGTGGCTCCCCTGCAGGCAGTCTCCCCCTTCCTCACCACCTCTACGGGGTGGCTTAGCCCCGAAACAAGCCGGCTCGGGGCGCTCCAACAGCGAGCACGGATCAAAGCCTCGCAGAGACAAAGTTTCGGTCTGTCGCTAAAGAAGCTCAAACTGGAAGTCTAATGATGTTTGTTGAACCATAGCCAACACAATATAGTTTAGCAGAAGTTGGAGAATTTTGGCTTCCAAACCAAATACATTTTCTGTTTTATGTCAGTCCTTAAAGTGTATGTTGTAGAGATGGACTAGAGCTTCTCTCCTTAAATTTTTCTTTGATTTTATCACTGTCCTATGATGAATTGTTATGCCTTTTTTTTCAATGGGAGTTCGTAAAGAATACATTCTTGTTTTTTTTGTTCTTAATATTTATAGTAATTATTTATGGTAGCTTCCTTTGTAATAAAAAGTTGAAAGGACTGTAGTTGCCTTCAAAATGTTTACAAATGTTAGCTAAGTTAAAAACGGGGAAGGGTCAACTGATACAGCCTTTTTCAAAGAGATGTTTCATTCTTCCAATGGGAAATAAATTTTACTAAATGTCAAGGCAAGGATGTATTTATTGGAAGCAAGACAGAGATGAGGCTATTTTAATTTGATCTGTTGATCAAGATTTACCCAATGAAGTAGAGTTGTTGTTTGATAATCCAGTTTTTAATTGGAAAAGTAGAAAGAAAGAGAAACACTGAGTGGAAAGAAGTACTGGAAGGAAACTAATCAAGGAGAGAAGCAACCTAGAATTAAGAAGAAATTTCCAGACAGTTAGAACAATTAACCAGTGGAACGACTTGCCTTCAGAAGTTGTGAATTCTCCATCACTGGAAGTTTTTAAGAAGAGATTGGACAGCCATTCGTCTGAAATGGTATAGGGTTTCCTACCTAAGTAGGAGGTTGGACTACTAGAAGACCACCAAAGTCCCTTCCAACTCCTACTCTATTCTATTCTACTCTATTCTACTCAACCAACAGCAAAATGAATGGACTTTATTACAACAATGAATGCATCTTTGAGATAGCTAAAAGGCCAAGTTAAAGACATCTTCCTGGAGAAAATCCATGTAGTCAAAAGTCAACATAGATTTGGTGGCACGTAATTAACTTTTGATTGGTAAATCAACTCAGAATATATGTGGTCTTGCTCCAAGTGTTTCAAGCAAGTAGATATTTGGTTTTAATATCTCTGTACTGTGAACGTTGACCATATTATAATCAGATTCAATTCCAATTTTTCAATCCTTAAACACTCCATCTAAGTCACCCAAACTCTTTTCTAGCTCTATAAAACATTAAAACTTTTCCAGATTTAATGTGTATGAATATGTTTCTTCAGTAAAGTGAGCTACGCTTGTTATGTTTAGTATGGTGTTTTTATTTGTGTTACTGTTACACGTTAACATGCGTGATACATTTTATAAATTCTCCCAAAAGTTCATTTAAATCAGGGATTAACTCAAAATTCCACCGAAGCACAATTTGTGTATTATGGTATTATGGTGAAAATTTTTCTAGACTATTTCCCACTGAATTCATGAGCAGTACAGTAGATTTTGTTTTTCCCTCCAAAATGGAGTGTACATAATGATGAAAAAAACCTTTTTATAGAAATAAAATGATTAGAAAAGAGCAAAAGCGCTGACTTGTATACTGCTTCGTAAGAGAGAGATATCTGCAGATGTTAGGAATTTTAAATCTATAAAGCCTCCAGTGGCCAAATGTGACCTGTACTGTAAATTATACATTATTGTTGGCAAAGGGGTCAGAAGAATCTTTATAGTTTGATGAGGTTTTAATTTGGAAATGCCCATCTGTGATATCCTTTGTCCTGCAAGATCTATAGGAAACTGCAGCAAAATGATTTAGGGTGTCAGAAAGGTCTCTTGCCATACACAGGGAAGAGGA